TATATATACACACACACACATAAATACATGCCTATGCACACATACATACATACATACATACATACATACATACATACATACCCACATACATACATACATACAAACATACATACACACATACATACATACATACGTACATACATATATACATACAATGCATGCATGCATGCATGCATGCATGCATGCATGCATGCATGCATGCATGCATGCATGCATGCATGCATGCATGCATATTTACATACATACAAACATACGTACGTACATACATACATACATACATACATACATACATACATACATACATACACACATACATGCATACATACATACATACATACATACATACATTTATATATACATACATACATACATACATACATACATACATACATACACATACATATATTCACCCACCAGATGCGCACACATACACACTCAAGTGGCAAGGTTCCTGAGGGAGGGAGCTTTGTCCGCAGCAACCTCGTTCCCATGTCATCGCCGCACGAGAACCGGACCAGGAAGACCGCGGCCTGGGAATGCTCCAAAATCGATTTCAAGAGCTTTACAGGGAGTGGCGCAGACAGCCAGGCAGTTCAAGATCTCATGACATCCCTGGAGATTTCCAAATATTGTGGTAAGTACAAAGGCGATCCCAAGGCAGAGGCGGCCCAGAATCCAACCTGCCTTGCTTTCTGGGCAGGCATGGAGGCCCACATGCAGCTCCAGAGGGATGGGGTGAAGCCCGTGTTCAACAACATGATGGTTGTGAATTGGTTTGCGAACGAGCCGGGTCACTACCCGTCCTGGGGAAGCACGGATGATGTCACCGTGACCTATGGGAAGGGTGAGGCCAAGACTGTGACGGTCAAGGACAACAGCGCAGTCACGGGCTACGCCTTCTGTGACATCGTACATACCATCTTGAGGCAGAACTTCGATCAGGCGCAGCGTGGACAATGTGCCCCAACGGCGGTGCTTATGGCGCTCAGCAATGTGAATCCGGCCAAGGCCATCAAGATCGGGCTCGAGCTATTCTGGACAGGCACTTTTCATGGCGTTCCGCCCCAGTTCGATCAGTGCCGCTACATTTACGACGACATGCCACCGGGTGTCGTGCCTTTTGATGTGGGCCAACCCGGGACAGACGGCTCCGGCGGCAAGCCCTTGCCGATGCCATGCCTCGGCAACGCAAACGACTGCGAACAGGGCACCGGCACACCCAACACAAATGCGGGCTTGCAAGGCATGTGGGCAATTAAGATGACGGCTCTCCGGGATTTTGCAACGGCGAAGAGCTGCGATGCCTGCGCTCGGAAAGCTTGGGTCACCTATCCAGGCATGAGCCCCGAGCACCAGGCGTTGATCAGCGACGGCTGGTTCTTTGGGCCCCTGAGGCAGATGATGGAGATCCTCTTTCGGGCTCCGGTCCGGCTGGACCACATGCCGAACAGGGCGGATCGACGCTTCATGAAGGACGATTTTTCCCGAGATTGCAGATCCTGATCTTTAGGGGTTTAGGGTTTAGGGCTTAGCCCCAAAACTCTAAAACACTAAACCCCCAAAGCACTGGACCCTTCATGAAGGAGACGATGGATCTCATCTGCAGCATGAAGGGAGGTGCCGTGGTGGGGATTGCCTCTTCGGTTCTGAAGATGGTGACTCGGTCCCGCTGGTACCCTCTTGCCTTTTTATTCTAACATGGGGGTTTCAGAAAATAGGGGACCCCGATGTAGTACCCTAAATAGTAAGATCCTTATTATAAAGACCCCAAAATAGGGTACCCTAATTTTCGGAAACTCCCATATAGGTTGACTAGGATTAGGGGTTTTGGGCTTTCTGGGCTTCCTTGTGATAACCGAACAGCAGGAACGAGGGTGCCCTGGTGATTCTTGGGTTTCTGTGGAAACTAGGTGAACGTCGCGCTGCAAACGGTTGGAGCAGGCAGCAAGGAACGGCCGTGGCGGTCAAGAGACTGGTCTTGGAGGTGTGGGCTTCAGAAACCGGGGGGATCTCAGATGGGAGTTCTTATGATTAGGATCTCATCAAGTAGGGTCTTATGTTGTGGTTCCCTGTTTTCTGTCTCCCAGGTGTGGGGAGAACAAGTGGAGCAGCACTTCAGATCATGCGGCTTACGTTGATTCCTGCGACGGGGACATCGTATCGATCTGGACATGGTCGGGACGCCTCTTCATCGATCGTGAGACTTTGCTTACCTGGGGATCAGACACCAAGAATGGCCTCCCATGTCCCGGCAATTCTGGACCTGTAAGCAGTGCTCTTTTCGATTTCATTGAGGTGCCACATCCCGGTTCCGACTAATTCGAAGCCGACGACGGCGGTTTTGTATAGGCCTAAAAGGCTCTCGGTGCACGTGCTGGCAGGGTGCAAATGCCATGAGCCTCTGTCAACCCTCGTACTTCCTAACTTAGCTCGGCTCAAGGGCTCTTTCAAGTTGACAGAAGCTCAGGTGGGGTTGCAGTGTACCGCCAGCGGTTTGAATCCTCGCTTCCCCCCCGGGCTGCGGATGTGAACGCGCGTCCAGATGCCGTCCGGTGGACTTTGGCTGAACTCCAGCTTCGGCCCTGGATCGAGAAGTAGGGTCGGAAGAGCCTGCAGCACCGTGCTTGTGCCCTGTTAGGGGATATTAGGCTGTACCTGCCGCAAGCAGCCTTTTTCTGCCAACCCCCCCATACCTTGATGGACTGGGACCACTACACTATACCAGCACTGCTACGGTTCTCAATGCCCATCCTAGCATGGCAGCAGCAAAGTAGGAATATCACCCTGACTACCCCTAAACCCTAAACATCCAAAACCCTAAATCCCCCTAAGAACCCTGAAGCCCTTTGCACCCAGACCCTCGAACAAGTCATGCCCTGTGACTTCGCGGCTCCAGCCTTCGTGCATTCCGCAGTATAGACCGGGCCCGAAGCCGCTCCGGTGACGTGATGGCGGTGATGTCCCTGCTGCTTCTCCTGGTGCCTCGATTCCTCAAGCCTAACTCCAAGACCCTAGGCCCCAAACCCTGAGCCCTGAGCCTTAAACTTAAACTCCTAAACCCTATAAGCCCCTAAGCAAAAAAATCGCACCTTAAAGCCTGAACCCCAACTTCGAAACCCTAAGCCCCAAACCCTAAATTCTAAGCCCTGGACCCGCAAATCCAAAAGCCTGCCCCTGGGCTTAGGGTCTCATAGATTTTTGGGGCCTTTGGGTTTAGGGTTTGGTATTATTATCACCTGATCGTCCTTGCTATTCTGCTATTTTTCTACCAAGACCCAAACAGGAACCCGAAGGAGCCGGCAAGGACCCCTTATGGGCCGAGCCCCTCCTCTTGGATTTTTCCGCGGTCAGGCTTCAGGGCTTTGGGTTTAGGGTTTTAGGGTTTTAGGGTTCAGGGGTTTTTTGAGGGTTTAGGGTTTAGGGTTTTAGGGTTTAGGGTTTTAGGGTTTAGGGTTTTAGGGGCTTTTAGGGTTTTAGGGTTTAGGATCCGTTTAGGGCATGGCCCTGCTGATGCGTCTATAGGTCTTGTAAAGGGGTTTAGGGCTGAAAGGGTTCAGGGTTGGTTCCTTGGCGGTCCACCGGGCAACCTTTCAAGTCTCAAGCCCAAGGATGCGATTGGTTTTGTGATGCAAAAAAAAACTGTTCTATAACGGTCCTAGAACGATGTATCCCCAAACCCATCAGCTCCAAAACGTAGGAGAAAGACCCAACGGGCCGAGGTGGCGCCCAGCGCCGTCTTGGCCACTCCTTGCTCCGGACTCTACGGCGCGGAGGCGTTGACCTGTGCCTGGGAGCAGGCGCCCAGTCCTCTTAATCTCTTGTTCGTCCTATGTGGGCCATATAGGGTTTAGGTTTTAGTGTTTAGCGTTTGGGGTTAGATTTATAAGGCGTTTGGGGTGTTACGGGCTCAGGTTTAGGGTTTGGCCCTGGTATCATGCCACGTTTCTGAAACTTCTGATTCTAATTTCTCCTGTGCTTGTCTTATGCTTGTTGCCGAAGCCTCAACCCTCAACTCTGCTGTCTACGCCCTGGGCCCTAAACACGAAATCCTGGCCCAGGATGTGAAGACTTGCATGGAGACCAGCTGCCACGGCTGTTCGGGTGAGCCCTGCCAGCTCTGCAGAGAGGACCATACATGCATGAATGTATTACTTTCATTCAATATTGCATGAGTGCATTACTTTCATTCAATATATATATATATATGTATATATATATATATGTACATATATATATATATATATACATACTATCTATCTATCTATCTATCTATCTATATATATATACACATATAATTAAATAAGATGCCTGTACGTAGGCTGGAGATAGATAGCTACCTCATTTCAGCACCTAACCCCTAAACCCTTAAAGCCTGAAGAAGCCCTGAGCCCAAACCCGCGAAGCATGCAAGCTAAACCCTGAAGCTCTAAAACTCTAAAGCTCTTCTTCCAACTCTACTTACTGAGCCCCTCGCCGACCGCAGGACACCGAGAAAATCCACGACTGCTGCCAGAAGCCACATGGCTCCTACTCTCTGTTCAGGGTAAAGGGGTGATATAGGGCTTCGAGAAGTTCTGGTATTATTCGTTCGGGTTCGTTAGTAGAATTAGATTATAGCATACTCCCGAAACCCTACTCAAATCGTCAGGGCCCCCTAGATTAAAGGGTTTAGGGTACAGGGTTTAGGGTCGCAGGTTTCGATTATTGGGTTTAAGGCTTAAGGCGTAGGGTGCAGGGTTCCTACCCGAAACCCTGCACCCCCTTTATGCAATGGAGATGGAAGCCCTGCGGGGGGCTCGGCCTTCAGGCTACGAAGCACAGCTTCCCTTCCCCGAATTCAGACAGTCCCAAAGCCGTGGGCAAATCATTGTTCAATTAATAACCCTAAACCCTAAACCCTAAACCCTAAACCCTAAACCTGAAACTCAAGGGTCTTGCTCCCATCCGCAAACGCCAAGTTTATAGTAGGTGCGCTTAGTGATTGACCCGGGGCCACTTGTACTCCAAGCTCAGCGCTCGAAGAGGCACGGCAAAGAGGCGAAGCCAGGAAAGACAGCAGCACGATGTAGTAGAAGTGGGTTTTAGGGTTTAGGGTTTAGGGTTTAGGGTTTAGGGTTTAGGGTTTGGTCAAAAGTATCAGTGGGATTCAATAGAAAAACACCAGTAAAGGTGGCAAAATTTGGAAGCATCAGTGAGCAAAGTAGCAAAATCAGCAAGGATAATCTGCTACCGTTGCTGCTGTTCCAAGCACCCATTTCGGGGATCTTGATGATAAGGATCCTTCCTGAAACTTCCAATAGAAGTTACCTGTAAGAGGCCCTTGCTCAGTCGTAAACCTTCTTGCTCAAAACCCCTAATATCGGGGCCCAAATAAGTACCAATATTTCTGTTAGGGTTCCTTATTATGAGAATGCTCGAAAGGAGAGCCCAAAACCCTATTCGAATTATTTAGGCCCCTACACCACGGCCCTACATCTCCAGTTTAGGGTTTAGGGTTTAGGGTTTAGGGTTTAGGGTTTAGAGTTTTAAACCCTACGCGCCCTGCCGCTGCAAGGCACTACCACTCGGCGTCGCCACCCTTGATGTGCGAGCAGCCCGGCTTTCAATGTCCATGTCAGCCTTCGGCTTCCGACAAACTCTTATGTAATCAAGGGGCCTTATATACTTAGAATAGGGCTTTAGGGCCCCTTATACCAGAAGCAATAAGAAGGAGCCCCCCCCAAAAAAAAAGCAAATAGTATAGGTAATTATTTAGGCCCCTACAGTAGGCTCCCGGCCCTAGGGTCTAAGCTCGGTTATCTTTTGGTTTCGGGCTTGAAAGGGTTTAGGAGCAGGATTCCGGGCGTAGCTCATCGGAAGAGGATTCAAAGGCAATATAGGGGCCTTAAAAATAATAGGATTTGGGGTATATTTTGCTATAATGATAATAAGGAACCCCCAGACACTATTCTGTTTCTTAAGGACCCTACACTACAGGGGAGTTGATGGGGTTGAGGGTGTAGGTCTGAGTATGACTATAGCGTCCAAGCCGGGTTTGGGATGCCTCAAGGATATTCATGAGAGGGGAGAACAGTTCAAGAATTCAAAATCCCCTAAAGCATCTACCCGAAAAGGGGAAAGCCTCTGCCCTTAATGCAAACCGCGACAAGGAGTGCTGCCATCACCGAGGGCGTGAAAGCTTGTGTGCAGGCGCCTTTGAGGGTTTAGGGGTTTAGGGTTTAGGGGTTCAGGGGTTCAGGGGTTTAGGGGTTTAGGGGTTTAGGGTTTAAGAGTTACCTACATCCCACACTCTACCTTAAAACCTTAAATGCTGAACCCCTCAACCTCAAGCCTTTCGGAGTGAGGCTTCAAGGTTTCATCAGGCATGCTCCTGTCGCCAGGCCTACAACCCTAAACCCTAAACCCTAAACCCTAAACCCTAAACCCTAAACCCTGAAGCCCCGAAGTCCTTGAGCCGTAAAGCCCTAAAGCCCTAGAGCCTTCATTCAAGCCCCAAAGCCCTAAAATCATGAAGCCCCAAAAATCCGACAGCCCCAAAGCCCCAAAACCTTAGAGGCTAAACCGTAAATTCCTAAGCCCAAAATTCTTAAACCCTAAACCCTAAATCCTAAACCCTAAACCCTACAAGCCCAGAAGCCTTGAAGCCTGAACCATTCTAAACCCTAAACTCTTCTTGAAAGCCCCAGAAGCCTTCTGAAGCCAAGGCTGAGTCCCAAAACCTTGGAGGGTAAACCCTAAATTCCTAAGCCCCAAACCCTAACCCATTAAAGCCTTAAGTTCCTAAACCCTAAACCCTAAACCCTACACTCTTCTTTAAAGCCACAGAAGCCTTCTGAAGCCAAGGCTGAGTGCCAAGGCTGCTCCGGGGAGCAGTGCCAGCTTTGCCAGGAGGCGGGGCTTTTGTGCCGACGGGGAGCTGGAAAAGGATTAGGGCTTAAGGGTTTAAGGGCTTAAGGGTTTAAGGGCTTGAGGGCTTTAGGGCTTTAGGGGTTTAGGGGTTTGAGGGTTTAGGGGTTTGAGGGGTTTAGGGGTTTGAGGGTTTAGGGTCTATTGGGTTTAAGGCTCAAGGGTAGCGTCTAGGTTTTGGGGTTCAAGAAACCCTCGGAACCCGACGCCGCGAGCCGGCTTGCCAGGATTCAACCCGCATCTCCGCCTGCTGCACTCAGCACGATGTCAGCGCGGCTTGGAAAGACCTCGTGGAGTTCCCTTGAACGGTTCGGGGTTTAGGGTTTAGGGTTTTCGGTTTAGGGTTAAGGGTTTAAGGGTTCAGGGTTCAGGGTTTAGGGTTTAAGGGTTTAGGGTTAAGGGTTCAGGGTTCAGGGTTTAGGGTTTAAGAGTTCTTTTGAGAGTCTTAAACCGGGGTTGCTCCTTGGTTACTGTAAGGGTGGCTGTAAGGGCTTGCAAGGGCGTCTGGAAGGGTTCCTTTCAGGGTTGCCTGAAGGCATATAACGATTCCTATAAGGGTTCCGTATACCCTCACCATACATCCAAAACCGTTTCCGACACGGGTTCCTAGAAGCGCTCCAAGACAGATTGGTGCAAATGAGCCTTTGCGCGAAATGATAGTCGTTCCGGGACTGGGTTGTCTCCCTAGTACAGCTTAGCATTTAGGTTTTAGGATTAAGCGTTACTATATTGCACAATCACCAGGGCTGCTGTTGCGGGACTTTCTTTTCCGATTTTTGTCCATTCCGTGCAATCGAGGGTGCCAAGAACAGCCCATATCCCTAAACCCTAAACCCTAAGGGAAACCAGGAGAGCCATCTGCAAGTCAGCCTGGTACTTCTTTTCCGAGAGCGAAGCTCTGGAAACTGCTGTCGAGGTTGAGCCCTCTAAGTTGTCTAGAGGTGCTGGTCGTCCCCCGGTCATCAACTCCGATGGCCCTGAACCCTAAACCCTAAACCCTAAACCGTGGCTGCGGCAAGGCTTCTAAACCCGAAACCGTGGCTGCGGCAAGGCTTCCAGCCTGCAGCTTTCGTCCTAGCTGGCTCTTTGAAATACAGCATGTTTTTTGTCAGCCCAAGGGCTGAGGCACGTCCGACGGGACTTCGTCTAAACCCTAAACCCTAAACCCTAAACCCCTGAACCCTAGACCCTAAACCCTAGACCCTAAACCCTAAACTGTAAACCCTAGACCCTAAACCCTTAAACCCTAAACCCGAAACCTCAAACCCAAGAGCCCGAAACCAAAGCTTAGGTGCTGTTCTTCAGCCCCGGGCGCAGTGGCTAGGTTTCATGGCTTGGGGCCTAGGCTGAAAGGGGTTAGGGGTTTAGGTTTTTTGGGTTTAGGGTTTTGGGTGTAGGGTTTAGGTTTTTGGGTTTAGGGTTTAGGGTTTAGGGTTTTGGGTTTCGGGTTTAGGGTGAAGGGTTTAGGGTTTAGGGTTCAAGGCAACGCAAAGGGCCCATTTAATACTTACTCTGTGCATTGCCCGAAAGATTCCAGCGCAAGCTGGGACTAGTTATTTCCCTAGCCTGGTTACGAGACCCCACCGAAAAACCATCTGAAACCCTACTCACATAATCAAGGCCCTTATACAAGTACACGCGAAGCGAAGCCGAGGATCCCCCGCAGATCTGCTCCTTGGCAGCAGGAGGGGCCAAGATAAAGGGGTGGTCCAGGATTGAGGGCTTGGGGTTTGGGGTTTTGTCTGGTTCTTTGCCTTTTGGTATGCTTGGGGCTTGGGTTTGTTGTTTGGGGTTCTTGAGCGTCGAAGCAAACTTTCATGAAGGATTCGTCTGAGAATCAACGCAGAGGCTGCAGGTCACGCCTTCTGTCCATCCTTGCTTCGTAAACTGCCCAAGCCAGCCTGACATGCTACGCTAAATTGCGCGTGATCCTAACTCCTTAAACCCTGCAGCCTTTGAGCCCCACAAATCGGAATCTTCATCCGCAAGCCCGAAGCCCTAAACGCCCTTTCCCTGAACCCTAAACCCCTATTCCCTGAACCCTAAACCCCTAATCCCTGAACCCCTTAAGCCCTAATCCCTGAACCCCTGAAGCCCTGATCCTTGAAACCGAAGCCGCACAAGGCCGGGACGCCATGAAGGGACCCTGTGATGGCCTTCAGGGAGACGCTCTTGGCCGCTGTCAATGGGAACAGGCAAAGGGGTGTTAGGGTTTAGGTGTGTTATGGTTTAGGGTTTAGGGTTTAGTGGTGCTAGGGTTAAGGGTTTAGGGTGTTACGGTGTTGGGGTTTAGGGTTTAGGGTGTGCAGGGTTTAGGATCCAGGGTTGGGATCAGATTATCAGACAGCCCAAATAACTCAAAATCAAAAAAGGCGCTCAATAGCCCTTAATCGGATTATTCCATACAGCTTACCGAGACGCCTTATATCACTCCGAGTAGGGATCCATCGTGAAAGGGTACTGCTCTGATCTAGCAAGGCTGCCTTAGTTTCGGAGTCGGGGTGTTCCATGCTGTTCCACACTATCGGCTTTCCCGATCCCCAATCAGCTATACCCGCAATCCCGAAACCCTTGACGAATAGCGTAGGAGCCTGATGATTTAGAGATGGTTTTGTGGCATATCACGGTAGAAGTTTCTTGCGACCCTGATGGCACTTTCTGGCGAACTCCTCCGGCCCAGACAGTATAGTCATCGTTGTTCAGGGCAGCGCGTGCACCCCTTAGAAATAGCCCCATTTTCGCGACAGAGTCCGAGAAGCAACTCAGGCTGTGAAGTTGAGGGTTGCAAGGTGCAGAGTTTGGGGTTCTATGCTTTAGGGTTTAGGGTTTAGGGTTTAGGGTTTAGGGCTTAAAGTTCGGGGAACCAAGTGGAAGGAGCTTGTGATTTGAACAGAGCGACAGGTGGTTGTGTTCCTTGTGATGCAATGGGTTGGGGCAGGATCTAATCTGGGAACACCACCATCACGAAGTACAACGAAGCCTTGTTACAGAACCCTTATAGAGCCCTTTTCGGATCTCCTCAAAAGATCCCTGTTTCAAAATTATCAAGGCCTTCATCTCACGGTACATGCAGAGCGTATTTGTCTTGGGAGGAAGTGACCGCCTGCCTCGACAACAAGTGCGCGGGCTGCTCTGGCGTGCCCTGGCTCAGTTTGCTTTTATGAGAGCCCATGCGCAAGTATGGAAACACCGTGAAAACCTAAGACTAAGCCCCAAGCCCTGAAACCAAAGCCCTAAAGCCCGAAAGCCGTGAAGCCTTAAAGCCGTAACCCCCCTAACCCACAATCCTTAAAACCCCGAAAGCCTAAAACATGTAATTGTAGGGTGTTGGGCTTATTGTGCAGTCTAAATGTCCTGAGGCCATCCTCGCACAGGTTTATGTTTTTCTAGTTTCAGGTATACTGTAGGGCCTGAATAATTACCTGTATTTTTGTGGGGGTGCCTTATTGTATTTATAGTATAAACCCTATTCTAGTTGCTAAGGCCCCTATATTACTGCTTGCGGTAGGTCAACAGGGATCCCTGTCAAATTTATTGTCAACAGGTGCTGCCTGAGATCAGCCGGCTACGCAAACCTCAGCCCAAAGCCCTGTACCCTAAGATGCTGTTGAATCGAAGTCAGTTGGTTTAAAATTTGAGGAGCAATGCCAGCTGTGCCGTGAGTCGTCCGTGCTTGGGCCGAAATAAGGGTCGGAAGCAATACAAGAGATAATGCCAATCATCACAACAACACGCAGCAACAGCAACAACAAGAATCAACATTGTATCCCCATCTAGTCCAGGATATACTCGTCGTAAAGTATAGCCCAAAGGCCTTCTTCCAATCAGTAAGGCCAATCTACTACAGCGTTCAGCTGTCGACAGTCATGTTTCTGTGGTGGGGGCGCGGGTTTCCGGGTTTAGGGCCTTCAGGGTTTGGAATGTGTCTGACGTAGGGGGGCAGTTATCAGTAACAATGTCCCGTGACAGGCCCCTGTACAGTTATAGTGAAAACCCTAAACCCTAAACCCTAAACCGTGAAATGGACCCCGAAACCCATTGCAATTTCCGACTCTTAGGGCCGGTGTTTTGCATTTCGAGGCAATCTGGGTGTCCTGAAAGATTCTAAGTTTCACGAGGGCAAGGAGCTTCCGCACTGGAAGGGATCTTGGATAACAGTGGTTTACAGTTGAGGGTTCAGGTTTTCGGGTTTAGGGTTTAGGGTTGTGACAGTGGGTTACAGCATGTTGGGGTTGATTTGGACTCGGAACGTACCCTTGTCGTGCCCTGCCGACAAGTCACCCTACTGTCCAAGTAAGATTCACGCACATTGGACCTTAAATGGCGAGACAGTGACTGCCACGAACTTGAGTTACCTAGACCTGCCCTTCGTGGAATTTTGAAGGCCCTAAAGCCCTAAACCCCTGATAGAACCATTAAAGGGACCCCTTGTAGGAAGCCTTTCAAGAAGCTGGATCAAGCCCTAAAGCCAACAGCTCTGGTGTCCACGGGCTCAGGAGTCAATCCTTTCCTGCTGCAACGACAGCGAGCAAGACGCTTCCCAGCCGGAGATGTGCAAGACGCGCAGCTGCAGGGAAGTGTGGTGCAGCGGTGGACTCTTCGGGCTCGGGACTTGCCCAACGATCATTATGATTGTAAGTGTTGTTACTGTTAAAGATGTTGCGGTTACTACCGCTGAAGACGACTATTGTTGTGGGCACTTCTAGCTCAGTTGCTCACCTTAGCTTCTCAGGCGGTGAGGCATTGGCAAGTTCCCAGCACGGGTGTGTCCCTGAAGCTATCTGGCACGAAGAAGTGGCTCGAGGCCTGTCGACGACAGCTTGCTGGCAAGCTTAGCGAACTTGAGATTGGGCACTCTACGTGAACTTACCACAGCCAATCTTGCTTCCAGCCAGCCCGATTGGTGGCTCGTAAATCACATGAAAACCATAGAGAACTATACATCCTCCAAAGACCTGAAATCTTATAAGGCCTACTGACAGGCTTCTTAATCCTTAAACCCTAATTTTAGCCCTAAGCCCGAAGCCCTGAACCCGAAGCCCCGAAATCCGAAAGCCTATGCCCCAAGCCCCGAAACCCTGCACCCTAATCAAAGTCACTGAAGCTCAAAGCTTATCATGGAAAGCGAGCCTCAGGACTGCCTTCGAGACAACCGTGACGAGCCCCGGCGAGCGTTAAGAACGAATTTATAGGGCTGTATTGAAGGGCTTAGGAATTTTTGGTAATTACTATTAATTATCCGTGAGGGTTTTTAGCTTCAATTATCCCTGAGGGTTTTTAGCTTCATTATCGGCACTTACTATAGGGGCTTCAATGTTTTTCTTTTTTTATGGACTTGTTAACGAGTTTTGTAGGGGTTGTGTACGGGCTTAGGAATGGTCAGTCAGTGCTGGTATTCCTTAGGGTTCCTTACTATCATTACAGACTAATGTACCCCAACACCACTATTCTAACGATTCTGGCCCCTAGAGGCCCCTAGAGTACTTGAAGGAACAGGGGACTTAGTAGGAACGGTGCCGCTAAGAAGCTTTCTTTGTGTCCTAGGATCAGGAGACTTAGTAAGGAGGATAGAAGCGCTATTAAAGTTATGGGCGCCGCAACCTCAAATAGAGCACTCCTAGCCTGCATCGGACCTAGTTCTGCGAGTCAAGTCACACGATCCTTCAGACCCTAAACCCTAAACCCTAAAACCTAAACTCTAAATCCTAAACCCTAAAACCTAAAACCTAAACTCTAAACCCTAAACCCTAAACTCTAAAACCTAAACTCTAAACCCTAAACCCTCTGTCCTGAATGTGCGGGTTTTCAGAGGGGCCAACTTCCCTTTCTCGGCCCTCAGTTCTTCCAGCTACCTTTGGGCTAGTCTTTTTTGGGAAGCTCCTATCATATGGGTAGTTTTCAGAATTAGGTCCCTTTTTGGGTCCTTTTTATAAGGGTGCCGTATTCTATTGGGGACCTAAAAAGGGACCCGAGTTTAGAGAACTACCCATATATAGCCCTGTAGAGGCCCAAGTTAAAGGCTCTGTTAGCCCCGCTGGCTTCGAATGTGTAAGGCTCTGGTCTTGGTATCCTTTCTGGCTTTCCTCGGTCGAGGTCTTCTTCTGTTGCATGTGAAGCCAGCGGCAGGGCTTTGAGGGAGTCGGCTTGGACACATAAGACCTTCGTATTAAACCCTGGTCGTTCGCCCGAATCCTAGTTGGCCCTAAACCCTTAGCCCGAGCTGCCAAAAAGCTGAGGAAGTGTGTGTGTGTGTGTGTGTGTAACCTCGAGAACCCTGTGGTACGCACGAAGAAATGAGCTGCGAAATCTCAGGAAGTGTGTGGAGGACCAGTGCCGGAAGTGCTCCGGAGAGCAGTGCCAGCTCTGCCGTGAGGACCATCCAACCGGAAGTCTGCGGATGAAAGAATTCATTCAGGGCTTTGGTTTAAGGACTTATAGTGGAAACCGGATTGAGGACAAATAGTGCTGGGATTCCCTATACATTACTTCTAAGGATTGAGGCTATTGGGTTTCCAACTTTTGGGCTTCTACTGTAGGGTCTGTGTCTTGAGTTTGAGGTGTCGGTTTGGGACGTACGTCGCGTGTTTAAACTAACGATTTTAGGGGCTGAAGGTGGGTGTCGATCAGGTTTAGGGTTTCTTGTTTCAGGGTTGAGCTTCGTCAAGCTTCGCCGGTGTCTTTAAATGTAGGTTTGGAAGTATCTGGTTTCTTCTGGGGTTACAGTTATTCTGTACCCACAAGCTTCAAGAAGTAGTGGCCCCTTTAAACCCCAAGCCCAACCCCTACACCATACACTCTGGCTTCTGTGTTCGGGATTGCGGCCAGGGAAAACGTATTTCTTCAACCCTACGCCCTAAGCCCTAAACCAAAACCCAACACCCTACACTTGCGTACTGAGAGCAGTAGCAGTCGCACTCGCAACAGCAGTAGCAGTGGCGGAAGCAGAATAGTACTGCTGATTTCGGCTTGTCGCGACAGTGACACACTGAAGCCGTAGTGTTCATGTTCCGGCTCTGAGGACGCAGAGAGGTACACCGAGTGCTGCAAGCAGCATGGTGCCACTTGCATTCTGTTTGGAGGGTTTGGGGTTTGAAGGTTTGGGGCTTCCTAGAGGAGTTGTATAGGGCCTTTTGCGCGGGCGTGGGGTTTTGGGGCTGAGGGCCGAGGAGCTTTAGTGTTAGCATTTGGAGTCAGACCTGCTATGCCACGATCCAAAAGCCGAAAGGCAGACAGACCGCCGCTCCAACTCGTCATCACAACTGTATCCGACAAGGCGGCAGCACGACCATGCACTGAACCTTGAAGCAAGAGCACTACACCCCAAACAGTAGGTCGCTGTTCAGGCTTAGGGGTTGAGTGGCTGATCGCCCTCCTGCCAGAAGCGATGCGCAAGATTGTTACCCAGTGCGCTCTCTAAGGCCCAAAGGACGATGTTCGAAGCTCCCCAATCTGCACGCTGCCCGATCAAATAGCATTGAAAGAAGTTTCTTCAACCCCTGAAATCCTGACCCTAAAACCTGAACGGAACTAACCCGCCCTACGTGACGGTGGGAGACTGCTAGCAAACCCTAAGCAAAAGCCCAAAGCCTTACGCCCGAATTCCCGTTGTCACGAAGCCCAAGGTCAGCACAAAGGTCTGCGAAGCAGCCCAAACCCAGGGCCGCCAGCACCGCCGGGAGATTCTTCCTTGAGTCGAAGACTGGCGGTGCTTCTTCGTGGGATTGCTGTTGAGCTTGTTGCTTGCTATTGACATGTTTCTTGCTTGTGAGCTCCTCACCTTTCTTTGGTGACCTTTAAGTAGCACCAGCGTGCCCTCTTTCTGCGGTGCGCAGTTTTCCTCCGATGGCTGGTGGGGACTCATGCCACAGTGGCGTCCCCGACAGCATCGCAATTAATTGAAATTCGAATTTTGAGCAGTCCAGCAGCTTTAGCGCCCTGCCCCGTGTTGGACTCTGTAAAGCTGGCATATGCTGCAAATGCCTATGCAGGGCTTTCAAGCGCCAACGCCGATGTTCTGAGCAAACGATTCAGAACGGACGGTGGCCAGCAGAATCTCCGGTATCAGAAGGGTGAAAAGGTTCCTCGGGTCATCCCGAGCCCTTGCAGCCTGCAGCCTTGGCTATACTGCTATATCTATGTCTATAAAAGACTCTAAGAAGTGGCTGACTGACTGACTAAATGACTAACAACAGCCAGCCAACAAACTCACGAACTAACTATCTAGCTGACTAACTAACGAAAGACTTAGCATTCGAATGGATAGGCATGCTGTGTATGCACATATGATGGGTTTTCGCATTTCATATCCCACTGTATGGCGTGTTTGTGTGGATTTCATCAAGGCTCTCCTTGAAGAGCCTGTTCCGGTACGGCCCGTGGCATGACTGAGGGTAGATGTTTATGGCTGCAACCTCAGCTGTAGTTGCTTGCAGTATCTTGCAATCCCAAGCCCTCAACCATCAACCCTGAACCCGAACTTCTGTTTGCCCTCCAACTTTCAGCCTGAGCCTCCGCGGAGCAGTGATTCCCGCGTTGCAGTGTATACTTTGTTGGCTCAGCAGATGGCCACTTTATCGTGTGTATGGGATTCTTCAGGGTTTAGGAGTTTAGAGCTTTGGGTGTAGGCATCGGGTTGTATGACTTCATCAAGAGAGGCCACGCGCAGCAGGGGGAAGGAAACAACGGTTGCAGGCTCCAGTTGCCGTGCTGGGGAGGGCTTTTAGACAGGTCCAGGGAAACCGACCAGCGACGTGTAGTCGGAGCCTCTGAGACGTTGCGCCAGCGGTTTGGCACGGGAAGCGTCGTGTACCAGGCCTCCGAATGGCTGGGGGAAGAGGCATCTACAAGTTTAGTTCGAGTTGTCGGAATGTTTAGGACGTTTAGTAATAGACCCTTGATAGCATCCCACTCTATTCCCCATGATTAGTGACATTGAGTCAGGTCTCTCTATTTGAGGCTTCCGTGAGGTTCCTAGACCTCAGCCATCCCGAAGCTCTTAAATTCAACGCCAGCGTAGCTGAGCAGGTAAGCTTTAAACCTGTCCGCAGTATGGCGAAATAGTAGGTAATAGCTAAAGCTACGAGATAGTAGGTAACAGCAAAATACGAAAGCTACGGCTAAGGATTCAAGATTTATGATTGAGATTCGGGTGAGGTGTATTTCATCTCACGATGACGGAAAGGTTCGGATTTTTCGTGCCATCGAACGTACCGGCTCGGATCCTAGCCCACGAACATCTTGAACCCTGGCACAGTGCCTAACATAGGGGCCTAAATAATTACCTATACTATTTTGGGGGGTTCCTTGTTAGATTTCCAGTACCATATACCACAAAACCCTCTTCTAATTCCTAAGGTCCCTACATTACCATCCTCAGAGACGACGAAAATGGGCTAGGAAGACAAATCATTAATCTAATCTAAACCTCAAGCTCGAAACTACACCTTAGTCTTGAAGCCGTTCATCCCAACAATGGGAGTTCTGGCCAGACTTACAACTAAACCACGAGCTCTCCAGTAACCCACCCTCACCTCAAACCAAGCCACATGCCCAAAGCCCGAACTTTAAACTTCTAGCCGCAAAACTACAACAAAAACAGACAAAAGCCTCTAAACCCCAAACCGCAACGCCACAAACCCCAAAACCCCAAACCCTCAACCCCAAACCCCAAACCCTTAACCCTTAACCCTAAACCCTAAACCCTAAACCCTAAATGGAATGCCAGGGCCATGATCTTCGGAAAGTCGAACCTCTGCTGCAGCAGCAACGAGAATGACCGCTGCTGCTTCGGAGCTTTATCGCGGAGCTTTCAAAGCGGTTTCGGGTTTAGGGTGTAGGGTTTCGGGTTTAGGGTTGAGGGTTTGGGATTCAGGGTTTAGGGTTTAGGGTTGAGGGTTTGGGGTTTAGGGTTTAGGGTTTTGGGGTTTGCAAGGGGGAGTTTAGGCTTAGAGTGTAGGGCCTTAAATGCGAACGGTTCAGGAGTTTCTCTATCTTTGGGATGGCGGGCTACCCGTGGAAGTGTTTGAGCTTGCAGTGAAGAAGAATATCCCTTGGTGTACTGTCAAAATACTGAAATCTACCATAGCATTCTATCTATGATACACTAGAATCTGCGGTAAGATACTCTAGAATAATCATTTGAAAATACCATACTAACTATTATTCGATACTATGGACATGGTCAGGCCTTCTAGAACCAGGACCATGGTTCTGATCGGTGTTCCTTGTGGCGTACGTGCGTGGTACGTGGGCCTGAATCATCGGGAAAAGTACTCCTAGGGCTCCGGAGCACAGCCTTAAACCCTAAACCCCAAACCCTCTACTTACAGTAGAGAAGCCGCAAGACCCTATTTCAGCTCTTCAGGCTTCTCTGCTGCGTTGCCAAACCCTCAACTTTCAACCCTAAACCTTAAACCCCAAAACCATAAACCCTAAGTGTAAAAAACCATAAACCCTAAACCTAAAACCCTACACCTTAACACCCCAAACCCTAAACCTAAACTGTTCGTTTTGGTGGGAAGGACGAGAAGGCCGAGGAGACCTGTGCTCCGGAGCCAGCGAATTACCGGAGCTACAAGGATGGGTCGGAGGGTTCAGGGTTTAGGGTTTAGGGCTCTGTAAGGATCCATGAGGCTTTTGTAGGACTCTGCAGATTTGTCTAGGGGTTACATGACCCTGAACCTTCAGGAAGACAGGGCTTCTCGGCCGAAGAGAGTGTGAGTTGCTTGAGTTCCTAAGCCCAAGGGTTTAGGGTTCAGAGTTCAGGTGTGTAGGGTCTAGGGATTAGAGTTTGGGCTTAGGGTTTAGGGCGTCAACTTGGTGTTTAGGGTTCAGGAATCCAGCACCTTCGGCAGGTAGCGGCCGTATAGGGTTCGACATCTTGGGGTTTGAGGAGGGCAGGAGATGATGGAGGTTGTGGGGTTCAGGCCCTGAACTCTCGAACCCTAGACCCACACTTAAGGAGCCCAGCAAAGAGCACGTATGAAGCAAGTCTAGAACCCGTATAATCCGCATGATACCCAGATAAAGCCCTTGTCGAAGCCTTTTAGAAACTTAGCCAAGCATCCTTTGGTGACTGCGTCTGTCGAGGAGCAAGTCCTTGCCGTGTCGCGGCCGCGGCTGCAGGAGTCGAACATAGAGTTCCGCAGTGTTCGGACGCATATGGGGGCCTTAATAATTAAAATAGGGTTTTGGGGTATATTATACCATAAATATAGGAACCACCGAAATAGTGTAGGTACTTATTTAGGCCCCTGCATTATATGGTTTGGGGTTTGTGCCAGCTCTCGGATTCCTACACGAAGATTAAAAAACCAGGGTTCATCGTTGGGGTTGCTTTAACCTAGTCACTTGCCCCATACAGCCTAACACCCACTCCTCCTTAGAGAGGGAGGCTTGCCCCCACCACGAGGGTTTTCACCCTCCCAAAATTGGAACCTTTAACGCGCTATACTTGGACGCTCTTTTGACTCCTAAACCCCTAAACCCTGAACTCTCTGACTTAATAAGTTGGGCCAGCATCCCTCAAGACCTGCATTGGACATCCGCCCATAGCCCGGCTGACTCACCCTACTTTTACCGCGTCAAAAGAGTCATCATCAACGTTTTGGTGTGGAACCTTAACCCTGAACCCTAAACCCTAAACCCTAAACCCTAAACCCTAAACCCTAAACCCTAAACCCTAAACCCTGAACCCTTAACCCCAAACCCTGAAGCTCAAACGCCGGAACCCTCAGCCTTCTACCCTAAACCCATGCACAATGCCTATAGAACTGTCATAGAACCACTTGCAAATCCTAAACCCTAACCCCGCCCTCAAACATAAACCCTGAGCCTAAAAGGCCTAAAACCGAACCGGAAACCCGAAACCCGAACCCTCAAACCCTAAAGCATAAGCCTAAAAGCTGGAGCAGGAAGCTGCGATGCACGCAGCTCGCCAAAGCGACGAGGCTCGAACGGATTCTGTAATATAGGGGCCTTACAAAATTACCTGTACTATTGTGGAGGTTCCTTATGATAATTATAGTATAATATGCACACAAAATCCTATTCCAGTTTTTTCTGGCCCCTGCCTGATGCGGTTCCTTTCAAGGAGCCCCTTTTCAGAACCCTTAAAGGTTCCTTTAAAAGGAACCCCTAACAGGAACCCGATAGCACCCTTTACGGGAACCTTTAAGCCTTGACGGTTCCTTGAAGGGGTGCTGTCGGGTTCCTGTTAGGGGTTCCCTTAAAGCGTACTATAGGTTCCTTGCAAGGGTTCCTTGTAAGGGCACTATAGGGTTCCTTTAAGGGAACTCCTTACAGCCCCCCAACAAAAAACCCTTAGACTAGAGGAGCGGGCCTAAACCCTGCACCCCCCAAACTCCCTAGTTCGAAGGCCATTTTCGAGGTCGTCGAAGCCGCTGATGTGGAGGAGCCCGGGTCGGGGTCGATTTGCCGGAGCCTCGAAGCAGAGGGTTTGGTGGTTTAGGGTTCAGGGTGTAGACTGCAGGGTTTAGGGCAGTTAAGGGTCCAGAGTTTACGACAGCACAAGGTTTTTGGGGTTTGAAACGTGGGGTTGGAGGGTCTTCTAAAGCCATAACCATTGGGGAGGAGGGCTTTGACGTATGCTGTGGCTTACTTCCGTTATATGCCATTGAAGGAATATGATTTGAAAGCACCCCTTCTTCTTACAGGGTATAAAGTTGTACAGCTTGCGGATTTGATTAGAGCTCTGCTTTCCCTTTGAGGTAGGTCGCAGCTCATTGCTGCCACATACTCATCGTCACGAAGCAAGCCGTAAGCTTAGCGTCAAGTTCCAAAGTCTGTTACAAGCATAGGAAAGGTTCGTAATAGTTACAAGAGGGGGGCCTTGGCGTAGCAGATTTTGCCACGGTAATATGAGGAGGATAAAGGCTAATAATGCAGACCTCTACATCAGCTGCAGGTTCTTCCCAATGTCGGTTTTCGTTTCAGCCAACGAGCTGCGCTACGCTAGCGGGAGGGTTTCGAGTTTCAGTCCCGGATTTCATCATGCTCCATCGAATTCCAAAGCCTCGCTCATTAAGCCTCACACAGGCAACGCAAATAAGGTCCCTGCCCAAAAGCCCGAAGGGTCCAACCCCAAGCCACACCATTTTACCAGAGGGTCTTGCAGCGCCCAAAACCCTACAAGCACCAGGCACAACGCAACCCTGAAGCCCTCCGCCTCTAAACCCAAAGCCGCCAGACCCAAAACCCCGAACCCTAAACCCAAAATCCCCAGAACCCCCCAACAACCCCAAACCCTAAACCCTAAACCCTAAACCCTAAACCCTAAGCTCCAGAGCCTCGGACAAGGCCATGTGAGCGTTCTGGTGAAGGACCGGCGGTTTGGGGTTTCAGGGCTGGGGCCTACGAGGTAAGCAAGTAGGGTGGCTTTTGAGAGGGGTTTGGGGTTTGGGGTTTAGGGTTTAGGGTTTAGGGTTTAGGGGTTTGGGGTTTCAGGTTTCGGAGCAAGTAGAGTTATATGCAGGGCAAAGGGTTTTGGGTTTAGGTGGAAATAAGTTGAATTCGATAACCAATATATGAGACTTCCATAATAGCAGGCCTGGGGCAAGTAGGGTGACAAGTGAGCTTATGATGAGGGTAGGCGGACCCGTATGTTCTGAAACTCCTTGGTCGCTCTGCCGAGGGCTTGGCAGCATGGACCTTCCACCGGCGATCTTCAGAACCCATGTGGGTGGTTGTCAAACTTATGGTCCCTTTTCCTTATTATATACGGCACCTATTATTTGGGTACCCCAAAAGGGACCATAATTTTGACAACTACCCATGTTGCAGGGGGTTATGTATGTGTGTGTGTGTGGGAAGTGATTGGAATTACCACAGCAAGAGAAAGCACGTCAAATGCTATGCATCCCATGTATGGTAGCTGACATGACTTTCTGAGCCGTTGTGGAACTCGTCCAAGCCCCGTACAGAAATCGCACGGAGCCCGGAACCCTAAGAATCTACAAGATGTGTAGGAGAGCAGCACCTACGTCCGAATTGCCTGCGGCGTCGCGGCCGTGGCATTGGTGCTGCCGAGCAGCCTTCAGAGACTAGCAGGGTGCGGGCTCGGGGTTTCGCTGGGGTTTTGTTAGGGTTGGTGTTTTCACAGGATTGTCATCAGTGTTTCGGGTTTAGGGTTCTAAGTTCTGATCCCCTTATTTCACACTTTCTTTAGAATCCGTCATATTCCGTAATTATGAAGGGCCAATCAGGGTCTACATTCGGTGTTATGCATAGGTTTTGGGGTTGCTGGTGTGGCGCATGCTGGGTCTTCAAAAGGCCTACTGCGGCCCTTTACGAAAAGAGACTTCCCCAAGCCCTATTCTAATTATGAAGGCCCATGCATTTTGCAATCGAAGGTTCTGCGAGTTGAGCCTTGATAGGCCTGACGCAGGAAATCTGGCAACCCCAACTCGGAGGGCTCACCCTAAACCCTGAACCCTAAACCCTAAACCCTACACCCTAAACCCTGAACCCTAAACCCTAAACCCTAAACCCTGAAACCTAAACCCTAAACTCTAAACCCTAAGCTCTAAGCCCTAAACCCTGAACCCTAAACCCTAAACTCTAAACCCTAAGCTCTAAACCCTAAACCCTGAACCCTAAACTGGCCCTAAACCCTCCTCCCTGTTGCCTGCCAAGGCTTCTGTCGTCCCTGGGCGCCTGGGCTCTAAAGCTGGAAGGCTCCGGGTCGATGTTTCAAGGCTTTACGTAGGGTTTAGGGTTTAGGGTTTAGGGTTTAGGGTTTTGGGTTTAGGGTGTAGGGTTGTGCTTTTAGAGCTTAGGGTTTTCGGTTTTAAAAAATTAGGGCATGTAGGGTTTCGGGTTTTGGTTTACGTTTTCAGGTTTTGGGGCGCGCAGGGCAAGCGTTTAAAGTAAATTAAAGGGTTTTCGGAGAGTCAGCTATGAAGAGCTATGTGCATTCACTTGCGACCGCACTTTTTGTGGCAGGGTTTCTGGTTTTTGAAAGTGGATAGTTGGGTCCAAACGGCCACATACTGATGAGGATCTCAATGAAGAGTGTCTGGAAAACTTGTTTTTGAGAAGCCCTATTGTACACTTTTTGGGGAGCCCTCAACGCCACCTTATGGAAATTCTGCATAGAACGCAAACACCACCATAAAGCCCACCCTAAAATACAGAAACTCATCAGAAAGCAAGCCCTTACAGAACCCTTCTGGAACCCAGCTAAAAATACCACCGTAAACACTTCGCCCCTTGAGCCCCTAAACGTAAGCCCTGAACCTTGAATACGCAGGCTTTATAGATACCCAACATTATGGAAACCCACCCTAGACGCTGCCTTCGCTGCTTCCGGTAAGGAACGCTGCTTTCCATGGCTGATCGGGACCTCACGATCGAGGCTACCAAGTTACAGGTGTTTTTGCGTTGTTCTGGTCGGATGGCTGTTTTTGGTGCAATCAGCATTTTATGAAGGGTTTCGGAGTACCGTGGTCAGGGTTGACACTGCTTGACTTTGACACACTGCCCTCGCCGTTCAGAGACAGCCGCACGACGTCCGCGCATACGCGACGCGAGAGAACTCCCAAGACCTCGAAGGAATCTAGAGGCACAGTCATAGGGACAAGTATCCTTTGAAAGTGTGCATGCAGTTGTACTGTCATGTGCACGCTCTAGTTTACGACACCTTTACTTTCATTTGCGCCTCAGCAGTGTTGCTGCTTGAAGTCTGGACTGAGTCGGAGAACGTCCTGCACAGCGGAATATCGGAGCCTGAATATAGTTGGAGAGAGGTCTTCAAGTGTTGTATGGTAGAGGTGCGTTAAGGTATGACAAAGTGATTTTCTTGCAGCTAGTAAGTCTCCAATTTTTCAGGTCCACAGCATCTATATATATATATATATACAGCCATATAGGTAAATAAGCAAAAACCGATATAGTCTCTACATGATTATAGGTAGTGAGCCCTGAACCCAAAACCCTGAGCTCTGAGCCTGATCCCAAAATACATTCCGACCTGTTTTTCCGAACATCTGCATCTCTCTTGCTGGTGGTCGTCCAGTTTTTTTTAATCCCGTCCGGAAAAAAGATAAGTCCGCTGGAAACGATTTACAGGCCCAGCTCAGTCGTACTTTTAAAGGCAGGGTGGAGGCTTCCCACGTTTGTATATCTTTCGTTTGTGCGGCAGGTGGTGCTGTCGCAGTGGGTGTGGCTGGTCCGTGGCTCAGTGCTCGGGCAGCTACTGCGCACTCGGGCGAGATTGAGCAGCATGATACAACAATCCGTCCTACGCGCGAACTTAAGATTGTCTTCGCAGAATGTCTTGGGCAACATGAACGTGGTGCTGGGTTTTAAGATTTGTTTCTAAGTCTAACATGAAGCAGCTCGGCAGCTCACGGACATGTCCAGAGTGACTCCTCAGCCTCCTCTCCCGATGGGCCAAAACGAGCCGGGGAACGGTAAAGGATCAGGGGACGCAGTATGTAGGTGTCAAGAGGGGGGTAAAAGTACTGTAACGTGGGTTGCTATTGTAAAGCTACTTATAGCCCACTTTCTACGTTCCCTGATCCAGTAAAGCTTTAAGCAGGCTTAGCAAATGGCAAAACGGAGTGACAAGGTCTTCGCCTGGATCTATGCTGCGGCTGCTTGGCCAGACCTGTCACGAAGCCTCAACGTCCCAAGCAAAGCAAACCCTAAACCCCAAACCCTAAATCCCCAAACCTCAAGCCACTAGGTCGCGAACTGCTAAACTGGTTTGAATAGAGGGTCCCGAAGAAGCAGTAGTAGCTTTTCCCTAGAGTCCCCATGTCTATGTATGTAGAAAATTAAGGACATATAGCAATCTTGGTATAATCGGCGATATACCACCAAAGCCTACTGTGATGCATTTAGGCGCTTGTATTTCGTTGTGATGCTTTAATGCTGCTGGCTGTTGGAATTGTATCCTAAACTAAGCCCCAAACCCAAAGCCGTAAACCGTCAAACGTAAGGGCCAAGAGTCATGGCGAGCAAGTGCTCCTTCCCACATCGGACCCGTGCATGTCTAAGAGCTCCGGGAAGAGCTTTCATTTGTGATTCTAGGTGTGTGTATATATACCTTAAACTACCAAACCCTACTTTTTTGTAGGTTCTTATTGTAAACCCTAATTTGGAATTTATAGGGACCCTATAAAAAAGAAGGTTCTGGTAGGTTAAGGTATATATATATATATATATATAGATAGCTACTAGAGTTACATCGAGCCTAGCTGTCGTCCTTGCGTGCCCATAAGCCTTGGACTCAGACACCCTTCTCGGATGTGCTTGTACTGGCTCTTGTAGAGTTTAGGGGCAGGCTGCTAGCAAGGTGGGAAGCTTGAGGGGTTTAGGGTTTAGGGTTTAGGGTTCAGGGTTTAGGGTTCAGGGTTTAGGGTTTAGGGTTTAGGGTTTAGGGTTTAGGGTTTAGGGTTTAGGGTTTAGGGTTGAGGGGTCACTTTATCCCTTCAGCCCTTAACCTTCGACTTGGACGCGCTTCGGGGTCAGGGGGTTTGGGGGTTTAAGGACTGTATCAAAGCTTGTGCGTTCTATAAGATCCTATAAGATTTTCAGGGTTGTGTACGGTCTTTAATATTATATGTGCTTTACAGCGTGTTATCAGGATTTATATATGCCGCTGAGTGGTACCCTTAATTCATGCACTTTTCATCTTTGGCATCTCTTTGTTTTCGTTACTTCTGGATACAAAACTAGGAGGGCAGCCCTATTGTTCAACACCAGGAGCGCGTAACGGAACCCTTGAAGGAGCCTGGAAGGTACCTTAAAGGAGCCCTGCAAGGAGCCCTTAATGGACCCCTTTGCAGGGGCCCTGGAACCCTTAATGGAACCCTTTTAGGAGCCCTTCGTGGAACCCTTAAAGGAGCCCTTAACGGAAACCCTTAAAGGAGCCCTGGAGCCCCGTCTCGATTTTCCTGAGGTCATCTGCCTGTCTGAGCTGAAACCGCAATATCCGACCTGCCGCTTGTTTAGGGTTAAGGGTTTAGGGTTTAGGCATCCTCTGAGATTTTTTTCTTTGCTTTCCGGGCTCCTGTTTAAGGGTTTGGGGTCATGAGAATTTCATGGTTACCTCTGTGTTTTTCTAGGGTGTAGGGTTTCCAGCAGGATTTTGTTTTTGGTTTTTCCTTTGAGGCCAGGGTTCAGGCTTGCGGGTGAACGAGGATTTGTCTTTTCTGGTTCCCTTTTCCAGGTTCAACAAGGTTTGTGGGAGGATTTGGTTCTGTAGGGAGGATTTTGGGAGTTTCGGTCTAGGGTTTAGGATTAACGATGAGGCTGTCTCTCTGAATACATTTTGTGTAGATGCTGGGTGGAGGGTCCACCTGGCATTTGGTCTTCGTCAGAAATGGTTGTCTCGATTAAGTTCATCAGGTTTTGCATAGTCGTGACCCAAGATAGTTCCCAGAGTCTATCTTTCTAAGCCCACCTTCCGTCGGCTTAGGGTGCAGGGGCTCTAAACTCTCCAAGCCGTCCAGAGAGCCTCGAAGTTTCGGGTCGTTTGAAGTTCCGGCCATCTCAGGCAGTGGGACCTACCAAGCGGGGATTTACAAGGTGGCGCCAGCCATGGCGTCCCAGGCCAGGGAGTCGGACAGCATGGCTTTTTTTTTTTGGATATGGGGGGGGGGGGGGGGGGNNTTTTTCGGGTTGGGCTTGGAAGTTGAGGGTTTGGGAGTTCTTTTTGGTGCTTTGGGGGTTTGGGGATTTGGAGCTTTAGATTAAGGCTCTTTGTTGGGCTTGTGGAAACTGGGCTCCGATTTTGGGGGTGTGAGGAATCTGTGCCAAGGGCCAAGGGGTCTGGGAGCAGTGGAGTTGTTGCACAAACTTAGGCCATTAAGCTGAGATGCAACTTGGGTGCCTTCCATTTTCCTCTTGTTGTCATTGTTCCCTAAACCTTTAAATCCTACTCGGACCTCACTGGGATGACTATGTCTCAAACGCTCTTTGTTGCCAAGGTGGCAGGACAGGTGTGGAAGAGGCGAGTCGGCTTCGGATCAGCTCCGTAAACATTGATACTGGGGCCTAAACAAAGTGCTACTATTCCTTAGGCTTCCTTGATGGGGTTATAGTCTATTAATTAAGGCTCCTAGAGTCTTGCAGGGTTTATAGGTTTTTGGACTGGGCTGGGCAGTGCGAGGTGGGCCGATCGTGCTTCCACTTCGCCGTTGGCCTGCAGAGTGCCGGAGACTGCAACGGGAGGGTTAGGGGTTTTCAAGCTTCAGGATGAACCGAAATTGATCACTGGACCACCCTAAACCCCAAACCCTNNAAACCCTAAACCCTACAGCGCTAAACCATATATAAACAGCAGCTCTCTGGTTTGAGTGCTTTTTCGGACCTAAACCTAGTTAACCTCTTCCTTGGGGTTTAAGGTTCAAGGTTTAGGGTATTTTTAGGTTTGACGTTTCAGGCCCAGGGCTGAATTTTTTGCAATTTGGGGGGCCGTTGGCTTCCCGAGCTCCCACCACAAAGCTCGAACATGCGAGAGCCCCCAACCCGGAGCCCCGGGCCTAATATTCGAAGCAGTTCCCTAAACCCTAAACCCTAAGCCCAAAGCCCCGGAGCTCTATCCGACTCTATCCCTAAACCCTAATCCCATATCCCCAAACCCCAATCTAGAAAGCCCAGAGCTCTCCAAAAACAGAGCAGGTCTTTTGTTCCGACCCTTGTACCTCAGCATCCCATGCTGCGTCTTGCCTGCACAGGGAGCTGCTGGGGCTCTGGGATGACATGAAGTTTTTTCTAACTACGAAGGTTCCTTTTTCAGGCTCCCTGGAAGCCTAAACCCTAAAACCCTAAAACCCTAAACCCTAAACCCTAAACCCTAAAAGCCTAAAGCCCTAAACCCCTAACAGAATAGTGGAACGAAGAGCGAGTGAAAGCATCTTTCAGATCATGTAGCACGTTCTTTCAAGTTGCATCAATATGGTTACCTTTCTTCTACACCGTCTGAACCTTAAAAAAATAAAACACCATACATTGTACGATTCAGGCCCTTCTGTTCTTCTATCGTGTTTGCTTGTAAAACAACGACTACACTGCTGGAAAACACAGGCCCCAGGGCAGTCAGCTCTCAACCCTAAACCCTAAAGCCCTAAACCCTAAACCCTAAACCCTCAACCCTCAACCCTAAACCCTAAACCCTAAACCCTAAACCCTAAACCGGGTTTATTCTTCATGAGATGAACTCGGCGTCTCTCTTAGTCTGCCTGCTTGCCGAGGGTGGACCTCCTTTCTTCAAAGTTTTTCTTACCTTTGAAACTTCATGTAGGGGCCTAAATAACTACCAATCCTACTTTGGGGATTCCTTATCAGAGTTATAGTATAATCGGCCCCAAAACCCTATTTTAATCACTAAGGCCCCTATATTAGCGGTTTCGGCAGTGAGTCTCAAAAGGCAAGGTGCGCGTCTCTTAAAACGTAGAGCCCTCGTTCCAACGCTGCTCAGCTCCAGGGGATCCGGGATCCCTACTATAAGCCTTCGACTTAGAAACTAATGCCCCAAAGCCCGAAAGCCCCACACCCACATCCACCATGAAGGCCTAAAGCCCTAGATCAAGAGCCTTTAACCAGGCCTGGGGATGAACCCAAATTCCCCGCGTGTAATGCCTTACAGAGCATTCGTGCCCAGCATAATTTTTCAGAGAACCACACAAAAACCGTAGTGGCACCCTCATGCAAACCCTCGTGAGAACCCTGCTGAACACTCAATGAAGATCAATGAAGATGTGAACAAAAGCCTGCATTCAAACCTTAATCTAGGTTCAATAAACAGCTTAATGAGATCCCAGTATGCACCCATATAGCAAGCATACTGTGGCTCCTAACACAAATCCTAACAACAATCCCACTAATGCTGACGCAAAATCCTGATGGTGTCCTGGATCCAAACGTATGAAACACCCAAACAGACAGCCAAATTAACGATTCCACAGCGACATCATGTTTGAAACGCCAATCGACACCGAATCATTAAGAAAGAATCAACTGAGGTGTAAATGCAAGAAGGGTAGGAACCCGAAGAGAGACCCTGGTGAAACAATACCCTCATCAAGCAGACGTGCATCAATAGAAAGCAAACTGAGCGCTCAATGCAGATCCTGATAAATTCCTCATGGAGACCGTGATGAAGACTCAACAACAACAACTGTGAAAACCCTAAACCC